GCTTTCAATCAGTCTCATCCAGAAACCTCTTTCAACTACTGAAAAATGCAGTCAAACTGTGAACATCTATACCCATGGGCACAACCATTAGACTAATACTCAAGTAGGTAACCCCAAATAAACTTCACCAAACAAATGAACCGCAAATTTCTTAGATTTTTGTATTTCCCCTAATCAATATAAATTATTTTATATATATTATTTTTAATATAATATATATTTAACAATCATGTAAACTGTACATATTTAACCTTTGAACAACTGTTCAATTTTAAAACAACAAATGATCCCCTTCATCCTCCACTTGGTTTCCCCCACCCTACCCATGATGCCCAACTGCACAGAAACATTTAATTTCAGAAGTTGTTCTGGGTTTTTAACTGGGTCCAGCAGGTCCTAATCACTAGAATATTACTATATAGCGTAGTTATGGGAGAAACAAAGCTTTTCTAAACTCTGAATCAATTGAACCAAATGCTTCACAAAATAATTCACTGTTGCAAAGTTCTCAGAATGGCCACAAGATGGCCTGCTGGTCAAAATGATTTATGCAATGAAAACGAATAACAAATTATTAAATACCATTAAATATGAAATATTTGTGTTCTTTAATTAATGAGACATGCTTGTTTTGTGTGTTATTAGGCACGGGTTAGAAAACTAGGTCAATCAGATGAGTGAAATATCATTCTCATTTTTTTATATTAAACATTTATAAGTATTAAAATTCATTAAAAATGAACTTAAATTACAAAACTGAAAAGATCAGGTAAACCCATTAGATTGCCTTTCATGAGTTGCAATGTCAAGCAGCATAACGAGCAGTTTTGTACAGCTAAAAATAAAAGGATGACTCCGGAAGACTTGCACATTCTAATTACAAATGACCCTTGTTGTGTTCATGTGTTGTGTAATGATACAATGTGTGAGAACGGAAGTGAAAGCGAAAACAAGATGGATGAAGTTCATTGTGTCTGTCTAGTGTCTAGTACGTCTGACACATACCACAGCCGTGCCTGCTCTTGAGTTTAAAATAAGGACTAAAGTACTAAATGAGAGGGTTTAATGAGACTCGGACATATCCAGTTTAATAACTTTAGTCCCTTCTCCGTGAGGTCTTCAGGTTGCATGTGGCACAGTGTTGAAGACACTGAAGCAAATCACAGCAGCAAAATGACATATTCAGACTTCAGAGCCTTGTGAGAATCATGTGATGCAGGACATCAGATGACAATGATTTCTCTCTGATGAAAATCTCATTTTTAATGTTGTTTATATGTTTATGTGGTGTTTTAAATATGCTTTAAGACAAACCATGTGCAAATTCATCAGTGAACGCCATTGCTGATATTTTTTCTCCTTAAAACTGCAGTTTAACAAAAACGCGATTTGAAATTGCCCCTGTTCTTCTGGACGTCACAAGCATGTTGTAACCAATCCCGTCGCGAGGGGGGCGGGGCTTTAGCATATCATTAACTATTCTCATTCTCTGAAGCAGGGGAGTCTCAAGAAAAGCAGGTTATTATCCCAGTATATGTTTCTGTTGATATGAAAAATCGGGTACATTTAGCAATATAGCGGGTGAATTATGAATATGATGTATATTACGATGTTATGATGAACTATATGCCTTTCTCCACTGACGTTCTGAGTTGTTCAAAGTGTTTCTAAAAATACTGATTTTTAGAAGGCAGCTGTCTGCAACACATTATTAGCATTTTGATAGTAATCAAGCAAAAAGCTAATCATATTAATTACCATTATGTGTCCAACGTTGTAAAGAGCGATAGATAAAACGCATTACCATTCTGATACATCGACTTTGTAGACGACCCTGTATAATTCACTCTTCCACTTCTTCTTCTGAGTTTCAGGTTCAGTTTCTGGTTCAAACATATATGGCTGAATTAAAGCAGTATTTCCACTTCCCATCGAGCAGCGTTTACGACAGTAAAGTTGAGCGAGTGGATCAGGTATTCTGAGCTGATGTGAGTGAGTGGAGGCGGGGCTTATTTGCATATTCATGAATCCGCGTATAAATGAAGCAAGGGTGTAGAGTTACATTCAAGCTATTTTAAGGCATGAGAAAATAATTTTCAATGGAATTTTTTTGTCAGTCATTTTGGTGATCGAAGATGAGTTTTAAGGGATAAAACTATTGACTGCAGGGGGACTTTAAGTAAGCATTGAGTAGTTAACTTCAGATCAAAGCAATTAATCAGGAAAAAAAATTCTCTTTACACAAACTTTGTTGGAGTAGCAATAAGGGAATGAATAATGTGTGTGTTGGTTCAGTACAAAAACATTTAAAAACTCTCATAGTTCATCACATTGAGTAATTTAGAAACTTTGATAAGAAACTTATGACACTGACCCTGCAAAACTCTTCAGGAGCTCAAAGATAGTACAATACACTGATGGAACAAACAAACTGCAGATTAAATACTTTGCAGGGAGAGGTTGGGTTTTTCCTGCATGTGCTTTAAAAAATATTCTAAACTGCGAGTTACAATAACTGATAACTTTGGGCATGAAGTAGCCACTAACACACCAACCAGTGGCATGGCATTTGCCACACACACAAAGGAATGTGAAATGTTTGCAGCTAAATCTATTCTGAGCAAAAAGACAGACAGAGAAAAGGAGGCAGCTAAAAAAATTCCTTGAGATGTCTGAACAAAAAAACATTTGTGGTTTTCAAGTCTGATCCCTGTCATTTCTTTTTTGCTGCTTTAGGGCTTTTCATTCCTTTGGTTAAAACTTTATGAAGGGGATGTTTTAACCTGAGGGAAACTCTTATAAAACCAGGTGAATCAATAGTATTGTTTATATACTCAGTCAAGCTCAGGTACTTGTGGCTATTTTCTCTCTCGGGGGAGAGACGCTCATTCTCAGACGCGGGCCGGTCCTGCGGTTTGACGTCACTCACTGCACAACTGAGGACCAATGTGGGAATGAGTGAAACTCGACTGTAGCTCTTACAGCTGTTCTATGTGAATCCTTACAACATGGTTGGATCTGTTCCCTTCTATTGTGCTTTATAACACAGAGCATATTGGTTATTAATTATCTGACAAATACTGTCTTTCATGAATTATTCCCCTTAGTTGTAAATGAGTCAGTTATGGCTATGGTCTCACAAGGATGCAAGTACTCCGAGTCTGTGACAGAATAACAGTTGCCTTTTCTTCACTTTTTTGTTCAAATTCCCATCAACCATTAACCAAGGTCTCCCTCTTCATTTCTGAGGTTCACCTCTCTAGGTTCTTTTAGTAATCTTGATTTTACTTCTATCTTGACATTGTGTACAAAGAATAGAGTGACTTTTCTATCAAATTGCATGCTATCTTCCTCATTTGTAATTCGTTTAGGATAAAATAATTTGCTGAATGATTAAATGTAAAAGTATCAATGGTAATTAAAAACAGGAGCAGATCAAATTTTAATTATTACAATCGGATTAATCATAAAAATGTAATGTTACACTTAAAGGGCAGCATTTGGAAAAACTGATTTGCCTGAACGACACAATATCGTAAAAACTGGTAACATGCAAAAGTTAGCTATTTCAACCTTATTTAACCAACAAACATTAGTTTTGTTGGTATAAGTAGATTCAGTAATGTGGAATAATATATAAGAGTTTTTTCAGTGCACTGACACAATGTTGTCAAAGGGGTTTATATTGCAGCTCTCTTCTTATCTGATGTGGTGGTCTGGATGCTTAATGGCCTCGTTTACTAGCAAGGAAAAAAGGTTCCTCTGAGACTGTGGAGAGCGGTTGTGCTATTCTATATTTGCTCTGACCATATACACATGCTCCACCCTTTGCACACAGCCCACATGAACCACGCCGGGCCCTTAGACCTCATGAAGCTTAAAATGTCATTATAAATTCCTTGATGCAAGATGCACATATATTTTGTCACATAAGCTATAGATCAAAAGCAAAAGAGATTGTGTATGTTGTACCTAAGCTTGCATCTCCACACAAGGAGCTTAAATGTTCAACTTGATGTGAGTGAATGGAGGCATGGGGCCATTCCTCTGAAATCTGCGTGTGGGTGGCAGGGTGAGGTCAGTTTGAGAAGATCGTCTGTACCACATATAGGAGGGGTTCTGCGTAAATGAGCATGTTAGAGTTTCACTGGCGCTCTAAATAGCAGACGCACAGTAATAAACAGCTGATTAGCTTCTACAGAAGCAGGTTCTTCCTCCTCGAAGGCCGGTGCTAAGTGCTAGCAGATGACGGGACGGGACAGGAGTTTGGCAGACCTAGAGCACAGATACAATGAAAAAGAGAGTTTGGCAGTGCCATACTACTAAGTGTTTCAGGGCCATCCCTGAGGTTTATGTGTATTCCTGGACTCTAGACACTAATTAGTACTTACAGATTTAGATGCAACTTAAAAACTCTGTGGAGAAAACAGTTCTGGCATTATTGGGTTCAAGTATTCTTTTGCAACAGCACTGAAAGAGATCTTAGTTCACACGTCCCTTATGTTAGGACTTTCAGCTACCACTCAAAGTATAGTAACCAATGTTTATTATTTGTTTGATAAAATCTTCACGACAGAAAACACATCAAGAATTTAGGATAAGGTAAGATTATTATATAAGAATTTTATTAATCTCTTAAGGGAAATTGTAAAGTTGTATTACAAGAGACTCTATGTTCTTAATAACAAACTGGCCTGACAGAGTATAAATATAATTAGGAAATTATTCATTTAAATCCTTGTGTCTTTGATATCTCAGCAGTGGATAGAAGGAAAGAATATCTGAAGACACAAAACCAGCCCAGAAACATCTGTTGGCTCATTTCCCTCAGAACAAACACACATACAGTATATACAGTTGAAAAGACTTGCTATATGTCTCAAGGCAATCCCTCACTTCAACTCAATTATCATTTCTAACTATGCATTTTTAACAAACAAAAAATAACATGGGTACATCACTTTTGACTTAGCAATCAGTCAAAAAAATAAATAATATTTCATTGTTCAGTACTGCTTAAGGAAGTTATGTAATACATTTTTCGCATAATGTTTCAATAATGTCACAAACATCCCCAACAGGGCTTGACATTAACTTTTTTGCTCACCAGCCACTGTGGCTAGTGGTTTTCCAAAGTTACTGGCCACTAGGCATTTTCACCGGCCACCATTTTGACATCGATACTATGGGGGAAACTGGCATACATATATTTTTTAATATGAACTCATAATTTGGCAAAAGGTATATAAGCTCTTTCCCTGCCAACATTTTGTAAAAAAAGTTGCCAGCCAGCGCCAGCATTTTTGACCATTTTCACACAAGTTTCATTGCCCCAAGAATATTTAAAAAAAATAAATGTTTTATTCTAGCTTCATGCATTCCTTTTTTATCAACACTTGAATGTGGGTAAGTTTAATAAAAAAAAGCAACATTTTGAGCAAAAAGCTGTAAAAATCAAATTTTAGTCAAAGAATCCATCCAGATCAGATTCAGAGCGATGATGAAACACAGATGGAGTAGATCAAGTCCATCAACACCTCAAAGCTTCACAGTCCTGTATCTCGTCCGGGGTCGACATTTCATTCAGTAACATTAGGAAGTTTTGATTTATATGCTGTTTAATGTTGATGGTCGCGTTATTTCACAAATGCATTTGCTTACATATGCTATCGCTTGTTTCTGCTTCTTCTTCGCCTGTGTTTTGATCCGAAGATTCAGTACTCTTTCAAAAGTTGTGTAATAGCACCCCCTATCGTGTAACAGAGAAAACACAGAATGCCGGAAATTTCGGTCAATTGCAGTGGACTTTATGGCAGGTACTTTAAGACCTGACGCACGGATCCTTACTTGGGTCTGAGCACAAAATCTGCGGGAATGATTCAAAGTATGCGCAATATGCACAATCCCACGCCAAAATTCAAGCCCTGTGACACCAACAATATTCATCCGGAGCAAATGAAACGAGTGAGTGAGGAGAGGCGGGTTTGTGTGTAACTCGCTGTCGGAGAGACGAGAGAGCAAGAAAGCGCAGCTGGTATCGTGTGTCTATTCTGGCGAAAATTTGTATTGGAAGAGTTTCAGATATTTCAGTATCGATATGTATTGAGAATTCTATATTTTTGACAAAAATCTATTTATTATATATCATTTTCAACCCGCCAAAGTGTCTAGTATGAGTAACTGCGTTACTCGCCACTGCTGAAATCCAGCCGCATTTGGTGGGTGTTAATGTCAAGCCCTGATCCTCAAATCTCTCAGCAGTCCTCTTCATGAAGTCTGCGTAGTATCATAAGAATGTTCTCTCTTCAATCAGGCTTACTGATTTATCGATCAACATGTCTTTGTTTTCCGCAAACTTGTAGCCAAACAGAGTCATGGTGGGGCCGCACACTTTCTGCACCAGCTGAACCAGTTTGAAGGGAATGTTGAACCTCCATTTCTCCACCTGTTCAGAGGAGTTTTTCTGGGTGGAATAAACTCCACTGACCTCCTTAGATGCCTGAGTATTGTGTAGGATCCACTCTTCCACCGTTGCGGTGAAGGGAATGCCTATAAAGCTGTACATCTCTGTAGCTTTGTGCATTGGGAATCGTGCAATGTCCTCGTAGCGCACTAGCATGTAGCGTCCGCGAAGCCATGGTGGCTGTTTGAGTCCAATCTCAGCAGACATACGGATGTTGTCGCAGTTTCCTTTGAGTTTTCTCACTTCGTCCTCGTCCACTGGAAGGTCTTCGTCCACGGCCCACCTCTTCCAGATCTTGTACTTGCTGGAGAAGGCAACCATTCGAGAGGCGAGAACGGCGCGAGGGTCCCTGACCAGCTGGATGAACTTCATGTCGAGTCTGGGATCCTCGGCTAGCGGACGTAGCGTCTCTAGCTGTCGCACGCGGACGGATTTAATGGCGTGATGCTCCTTCTGCTTGCAGGACTGAGTGGCCAGCGTAAGGTTTAGCGGCCCGCAGCGCCGCACGCGACAGTGGTAGCGCTCGAACGTTTTCCTCACGAATGGCGTGCAGACCGGATCCTCACACAGCGACTGGCTGGACTCGCGGCGGAAGAGCGAAGCCGTCACATGATCCTGCGGCGCCGGCTCGATGAAGCTCTCCAGCAGCGAGAACTCACAGAGGAACAGCTGATGCAGAACGTCCCGATACGCCGGCCCAGCGACTGAGGCGTTCGTCCCGCCAGACTCGACCGATAGCATGCGCTCCACATGCCACAGCGGCTCGAACAGGTAAAACATGTTTGATCCCTGCTGGTTGAAGAACTCCCCAACGAAAGAGGAGCCTGTGCGAGTGGTGGCCAGCAGAAGAATGTGTTTCTGTCCTCCTGATGCAGACGCTGGAGACAAGCTCTGCTGGATGGACCAGGTCGAGTTCTCCAGAAGACGATCCTCGTGTTGGTCAACCGAGGCGTTCTCCAGAAGACGATCCTCGTGTTGGTCTGCCGAGGCGTTGTGTGGAGCGGACAGAGACAGGCCGAGCAGAACCGGGGTTAGCTGTGTGCTCAGTTTATCAGACACCCTGAAAGAGACAGAAGAAACCGTGATAGTTGCTATTAGAGCTAAAGGGTCAGTTCACCCAAAAATGATCATTCTGTCATCATTTACTCTCCCTCATGTCCTTCCAAGCATATATGACTTTTTTTGTCCATATGATAACCAGATTGTTTGGTTCCCAACAGCCTCAAAATGAAATGAATGAAAAAGAATGAAAGTCAAACGGGTTTGGAACCGCATGATGAGACAGAATGATCATTTTTGGGTGAAATATCTCTTTAATGTTTCATCTCTTCTCAAAGAAACAATTTCTCCAACAATAGAAATTGAAAAATGAATAACACCAGACCCCTTTTGATTTTAAAGTGCTCTTTCACTGTTATTCACACATACAGAAGAATAAATAGAGGATATTGCGAGAAGCACCTACTTTGAAATAATGTTGTTTTCCTTTTCTATGATGACCAGAGTCACAATAAAGATGACAGAAATGGTATATTTAATGCGCATTCTTGTGTGTGATTGTGTTCAGCAGGTGTATCACTCTCAAATCATTCCATCTTCTTCTCTGAACTGACTCTGAAATAAAACACACAACACATGTGTCATAATTGAAGGACTTTAAGGTTGGAGTTATTTTCTTTTCCTATTGTTTCTGTGTTCTCTTGTTCCCTTGTTTGTTACCATTGCAACCCTGATTAGTTCTTAATGGCTGTTTTTCAGTATGCGTTCTTCAGCGATCTTGGGTCCTTGTGTTCTGGTACTACATTATCAAAGTTCAATTCCAATACTGAAGAACGGAAATACAGAGGACGCATGAAAGAACCCGGATGAGTTCCTGATATCAAGGATGCATCGAAAGCAGACTTGAGAGAATCGAACCGTTTAAAATCCCAGTAGACGCTCCGGGCTGTCCACGTACGGAAGCCTGTAAGCTTTAAGTATTTACTGTTTTGCTTAATTTTAATAGGCTAAAGTGATGACCTGAAAGACTGCAGTATTTTTTGGGCATATTAAAAAGAATCTTAACATTGACAAAGCATATGTCATGCGTAGTCTACTTATTTCATCAATACACGCCATAAAATAATATGAAATAAATGTTTAATAGGTTGTGACATTTGTTTGTGATGTTATGTTGTATTTATTGTGCTTTGGTTGTTAATACTCTATGTGAGATGATCAGTTGAGCAGCAAGATCACAGCACATCTCGATTCTCACACAGATGCGTTCTGTGTCCTCGAGTGACTCCGAGTTCGTTCTTTAGAGGTCGCCTGGCAAGACCAGTCTCAACGAGAACGCAAGTGCTCTCTTGGAATTGAGAAGCAGCCAATTGTTCCCTCAAGTGTGTCTTGTTTTCTTTGTCTTCATGTTAGTTTACCTGATTTATGCATAACCCTGTGTTTTAGTCAGTCGTTGCCTTTGCTGTTTGCATTCTTGGTCCTGGTCAGATTATGTTCTCACTCCCTGGTTGGATTGTCTTTATGTTTTTCTTTAATGAACTTCTGCTGCTTTTAGACCCTCACCTCACCCTTGCCACTGCTGTAACAACATTAGTTATGACAAACACAGTAATACCACGCTGATCTTGAGTTATTAAACTTCCCACTTCATACCCACAAAGGCATAATCTGAATCAAACGTATATGAGATTTATTATTTGATTGATCAATACCTGCTGAGAGACAGTATTGTAGCAGTTGTGGATAGTCCATGTCTGGTAGCTTGTGTTTTCTCTTACACATGTTGTCAGTAGTTACAGCGGGTAATTCATTTAAGGTCATTATGTCTCTCCAGACATGGACAGAATATGTAGTTGCTAAGGTGTTTTTTGAGATGTATTCACAGCAGTAGAGAAGACTTACACAACAAATGTTGCTCTGGAAGCAAAAGACAAAAAAGTAGTAATAATAATAGTGACTCTTGTTTTATATATTGTCCTCTTGTCTCTTTGTTTGTCCTCTCTGGTCATCTTGGCCTGTTGCTCTCTGACTCTCTTGGTCCTTCTTGAGAAGTCTTAACGTGAAGATGATGCTGAACTAGAAGTCCCCCAAGGACCCCAAGCTTGTGACAGGCTGCAGCCTTGTCTTTCCATTCACCAAAGATCCTCTGAGTCCCACTGGTTCTCTCTCATCAAGACCACATCAGCAAAGATCAACTGGAGCCTCAACAAATTGCATCAGGACAGTTTAATGCAAATGGACGAGACATGCAAGTATCAAACTTGGTCTCATTATTTGATACATTAAGTATCCTTACCCTTTTCAAGAAGGGGGTGTTAGAACTAAACTGATGGTTTGCTCAGGCTGTTGATCTGCTGAACATCAAACAATGCTGTAACTTCTTGCTTTCCTGTAAAAAAGTTACAGCATTGGACAATGCCTGGTGTGGTTCTAATGCACAACAAAGCAAATACCGTAAAACTTCAAATAGTAGCCTGGGCTTTTATTTACCCAAATCGTCGAACTGCACCGGCTTGTATTTGAGACAGGCGTCTATATGAGACAGGCCTTTATTAATTTAGTGTTGAGATGTTGTTCATTGAGTGTATAGGCCTGTCTCTAATCTCTAAAAATCTCCAAATGCTCCACGTGAAACTGCGGTCTTCCGACCTTTTACTATCGCGTCAATTGATTTTGATTAATATCGAGGGAGGGAGAGAGAGCAAGACAGCGCTCGTGTTGTTTGAAGACGTGAGAGTGCGCGCGCGCGGCCGGGGCGCTCTCTCTCTCTCTCTCTGCTCGTAACGCGCCTGTCAGGATTCAGGCTCGGAGACAGAGGTAAGTGATAAACATAAATGTATCTTTATTTAACTCAAAGGTAAGTATGCAGGGTTTCGGGAGTTCAACGGTGATCTCGAAGAGGATATATGTGGCAGGAATGCATCCAGGTGAGTGAATCCTCTTCTTAAGGAATAACGTGGCGGGTAACACAGATCAATAACTTGAGTTCTTCTCTCTTTTCAGATCGTTCGTGGATAGGCGTGATTCAGGAAGGATTCCAGGTGAGTAGATCCTTTGAAGTGCACTTGACAATGAGCTCACCAGTTCAGTGATACTTTCACTTTCTCTTGCAGCTCATCCAGTGGGAAACGGGACTCGTGGCGGATTCCAGGAAACGGAGAACATGAGTCATGGAGCGGATCCTGGGAACATCAGAACAAGGACAACAAGGTTAGTTTCTTTCAGGTAAGTATACTTTACGTCCGTTGCTGAAGGATGGCTCAGAGTGAGACAAGTGGTGACTGGTAAGGGTCGTTCCTGTTGGAGGCTTGACAATGACTGGGAGTGAATTGGGTGCTTTTGTGCTGGCTGGGAAGTGAGTGCTGAGTGGAAACAGGTGCAGGTGATCAGTAATCTGGGGACAGTGATCTTTGCGTGGTGACATGTGAGGGATCTGATTGGCTCCTGACAGTACCCCCCCCCCTCCAGAGTCCGCGCCAGCGGACCTTGGACCTCGACGTCGTGGGGGTCTGCCTCTGGGTCGTGGTGCAGGTTTCTCGGGATGCTGAGCATGGAATTCTAGGAGCAGACTGGGATCAAGAACATCATTACGAGGTACCCAACTTCTCTCTTCTGGCCCATATCCCTCCCAATCAATGAGGTATTCTAACTGACCTCCCCGACGTCGAGAGTCCAAGATCTCCTTGATGAGGTAGATGGGCTCGGGTTCAACGGGTGGTATCGGGGGGTTTTCTTCGGGTTCGACCTCGTTGACTGACTGGGGAATCTGTGGATGATGGGGTTTCAGAAGTGAGACGTGAAACGTGGGATGGATACGGTATTCTGGGGGCAACCGGAGCTGGTAAGTGACTGGGTTGACTTGCTTGACAATTGGAAAGGGTCCGATGTACTTGGGATTTAATTTCTTACATGACTGGCGCAGTTTGATATCTCGAGTGGAAAGCCAGACTAGTTGCTCAGGTTGGTATTCTGGCGTGGATCTTCGGCGGGTGTCAGCGAACTGCTGTTGTCTATTCACAGCTTGTCGGATGTGCTGATGAGTTTGGTTCCAGACCTGTTCGCTCTCCTCAAACCATTTGTTAACCGCGGGCACTTCTGAAGGTTCACCGGACCATGGGAATAACGGAGGTTGGTAACCAAGGATACATTGGAATGGAGTCAATTGAGTGGATGCTTGTCGGAGGGAATTCTGTGCATATTCTGCCCAGATGAGGTACCTACTCCAGATGTTCTGGTTGGAGTGGCAGAATGTGCGCAAGAACCGACCTAGATCCTGGATCTTTCTCTCGGTTTGTCCATTGGTTTGTGGATGATACCCGGAAGACAGACTCACTGTCACATTCATGAGAGTGAAAAATTATCGCCAGACTCGGGAAATGAACTGTGGCCCTCGATCGGAGACAATGTCCTCTGGCAGACCGAAATTTCGAAAGACATGTTCCATGAGAAGCTCAGCAGTATCAAAGGCGGTTGGAAGTCCCTTTAATGGAATGAACTTGCATGCTTTCGTGAAACGATCGATGGCTACTAGGATGCAAGTATTTCCGTCAGAAATCGGAAGGTCAGTAACAAAGTCCACTCCGATGTGGGACCAAGGTCTATTTGGAATAGGCAAGGGGACCAGTTTCCCCACTGGCAGATTTCTTGGGACCTTGGAGATGGCACATGGGATGCAACCTTGAATGAACTGAGTGATATCTTGGCGCATGTGAGCCCACCAATACTTCTCCTGAAGTGTGGCTAAGGTCTTGGTTATACCTGGGTGTCCAGTGGCCACTGAAGAATGAGCTGAGGAAATCAAGGCGTTGCGAAATTCTTCAGGGACATGAATCTTCCCGGGAGGACATCCGGGAACTCTGGGTTGCTGATGAGCCAATTCTTAAAGCTGTTCGTTTATTTCCCACTGGATAGGATTTACGAATAACCTCTCGGGTAGAATGGTCTCAGGTTGATCAACAGGGCTCTCAGGGGCATGGATACGGGAAAGAGCGTCTGCACGGGTATTCTTGGATCCTGGACGATAGGCAATCTTGAAATGAAAGCGTGTAAAGAATAACGCCCATCGGGCCTGACGTGGATTTAACCGCTTGGCATCTCTCAGGTATTGGAGATTCTTATGATCGGTTAGGACTAGAAATGGGTGTTTGGCTCCCTCTAGCCAATGTCGCCATTCTTCCAAGGCAAGTTTTACTGCGAGAAGTTCTCGATTTCCAATATCGTAGTTTGCCTCTGCTGGAGAAAACTTTTTGGAGAAGAATGCACAAGGGAGTGGCTTTGAGGAGAACTCGGAACATTGGGACAGGATTCCTCCAACCCCGGTGGTGGAGGCATCGACTTCCACCATGAATGGTTTTTCAGGGTCTGGATGGTGAAGCAAAGGGGCACTGGTGAAGGCAGATTTCAGAGCATGAAAAGCTTTCTCAGCCTCGGGGTTCCACTGCAGGATCTTAGGTTTTCCTTTTAGCAAGGAGGTCAATGGAGAAGTGAGAAGACTGTACTGGTTGATAAATCTCCTATAGAAGTTGGCGAACCCGAGGAATCTCTGAAGCTACTTCACGGACTTGGGAGTTGGCCAGGACAGGACGGTCTCGGTCTTTTGTTGGTCCATCTCCACT